TGAATTATCTGCAATATTAGATCTGTTAATAATTATCTGTGTGGGCTTATTGATGAAATTATGAATTATTGGTTATGTTAATTTGTGGTAAAATTATCTGCGCGGATGTGATGAATAATATTAAATAAATTTTAATTATGTGATAAATAGTATTTTCAGGATAAATATAATAGATTAAAGAATTTATTTTGATGATGGGGTTATTTTAGAATAATTATAATATTTTTTGAATTTATGTTGTGGAAGGAAATTATTTAGAATGATAAATGTTTTTAAAGAAGTTATTTTGGAAAAGGATTATTTTTATGACCGTGTGATTGATTAGTTGAAGAACACGACATTTCATGTACATTGACACCGACATGTTGACACTCTTATTTATACTCATTCATTGTCATAATTTCATGTACATTGACACCGACATGTTGACACTCTTATTTATACTCATTCATTGTCATATATGCATACGTAATTCATCGCTAGTCTATATAGTCATGTTCATCATATGATTTGCATAAAATAGTTATATTTATTTATTATTTTTGTTTTGTTGATAACCGTTAGTAGTTCATGTCCTTAGTGGCCTAGCGTGTCGTGTATAGGACCTAGATACCTGTGTTTGTGTGTAGCGTTGGGGTGGGTCTGAGGAGTTGTGATATGTGGTATTGTTGATTATTCCAGGCTCGCACCAACGATATTCCTGTGTAGCGTTGGGGTGGGTCTGAGGTGATATGATATTGTGATTATTGATTATTTCCAGGCTCGCACCAACGATATTCCTGTGTAGCGTTGGGGTGGGTCTAAGGTGATATGATATTATGATTATTGATTATTTCCAGGCTCGTACCAACGATATTCCTGTGTAGCGTTGGGGTGGGTCTGAGGTGATGTGATATTATGCTTGTTGATTATTTCCAGGCTCGCACCAGTGAAATTCTTGTGTAGCACTGGGGTGAGTCTGAGGGGGGTAGTGAAACGTTGTGCGTGGATGATTTGTGAACAACCGGTTATTCATGAATATGAGTTTTGACTATATGTGAGAGGTAGACCAGTGACCTGTGTAGGATGGCTAGTTGTGTTCTTTTCATACATAGATTGGAGTTAATATTTAGTTATCTACAATTTGAGACATATGGTATATACATGAGGGTTTCCTTGTTTGGATTATTTCGCTCGACGTACTACGTCTCTTGTTGTAGATTTTTAAATATTAATTCCATCTATTGTATGATCTTGTTGCTTGGATGATTTCTGATCGCTACCTGCATGATCTTGTTACTTGGTTGATTTTTGGATTCGTCTGATTATTAGTATTCCAGTTGTACACCTCTATCGTTATTACTACTATCATCACATGTTCTATTTTTATTTCTGCTATAGCATTGACCACGCATATATTATCATTACTGTTATTGTATTTGTTCCTGCCTTGGGGGATCTTGCCGTGTGTTTCACACGCTGACGTACTCCTATTTTCTAGGTGTACGTCAGATTTAGGAGATGAGCAGCCTCAGTTCGGGATAGTACAGTAGCCAGAAGATTCTTAGCAGGGGTGTCTTGCAGAAGGAGTAGAAGAACCAGCTGAAGCGTAGTGGTTTTCTTTCATAGTAGTAGTTGGATATTAAAACTCTTTTACCGTACTTTTCTTTAGTTTGATGATAGATTTAGTTATTTTATCTCCTTTTATTATGGACTATGTATTTCTTATTTCCTAGTTGAACTGTTATTGTAATAAGGGTACGTTTGACCCATATTTTATGTCTGGGATGATTTACCATTGATGATATGCCTATTTTTATTCTGGGTTGTCTTTATATTCTTGCTATGTGTGATCGGGGACCTGTGACTTCGTATTGTACTTATTTCCAGACGCTTAGCGTATTGGATTGAGAAGAAAAGAAAAGAGAAAAAAAGTAGAGTATATTTCTTCTCAATCTAATACGTCGCGGGCTTGCTCGCTTCCCGATTCCCGGTATTTTGGGAAGCGGGGCGTGACATGGGTACCAAGTCCATTTCATCTGAAGGCCACTCAGCTGTTCTTATAAATAAAAATCAGATCTAATCAGATCTTGATCCTTACGGGGGGGGGTCTCCTCTTTATGATTGCACCTGGTTTCTTGAGGTTTGTCATCTTCATATTGTTTTCATCTTGTATTTCAGACTTTTTGAAATTGACAGTTTATAGTTAGTTGCTTGATATGAAGTTGTAGCTTGGAGTAAGGGAGTCAGAGGCAGTGGCCTAAAGCCAATTGAAATCAGTGGCCCCTCAGGAGTCGGCAAGGGAACTCTGATATCAAAGCTAATGAAAGAATACCCCTCAATGTTTGGGTTTTTTGTAAGCCACACAACTTGAGCTCTGAGATAGAAAGAAGTCAATGGGGTTCACTATCATTTCACAGAACGAAGCCTAATGGAGAAAGCCATACTAGAGGGGAAATTCCTTGAATCTGCATCAGTACATGGTAATCTTTATGACACGATCATTGAGGCAGTTGAAACAGTAACAGGTTCTGGCAAGGTAAAAATACACAATTTTTGTAATTATCTGCCCCCAATCATTTGATGAGCTTGAGAAGCGCCTTCGCTCTCGGTATATAAGAGATTTTAGAATGTTTTCAAAAGCGTAACTCACTATACAGACATATATTCTCTTATATTATAAATCTTATGTAGTGTACTTGTGTCTTGTTGTGCTTTATGTAGGGGAACAAAAACTGAGGAACAAGTTCAAAAGAGGCTAAGAAATGCGAAAGCTGAGCTCGAGCAAGGAAGAGGCCCAGGTCTTTTTGACCATGATTTGGTTAATGATGACCTTGAAAAGTGCTATCAAAATCTGAAGGTTCTCTTTTACCACTTCTCTCTATACATAAAGCCATACATTTCAATATTCTAAAGTCTTATGTTTTGCCAGACATTTCTGTAATAAAATATTTGTTTCATGCAGAAATTCCTTGCCCTAGATGAAACCCCTGATGTCTCTAATGAGTCAGGTGACTTATGTTGTTTCATGCAGAAATTCCTTGCCCTAGATGAAACCCCTGATGTCTCTAATGAGTCAGGTGACTTATGTTGTCATAAACTTCTTCTAGCATAACAAGTCACGGAAAGAGAAGAGGGGGGAAACTTATATTACTGATGGTTCGTTTATTTTTCTTTTAATTTCTTTGTTCCAATTTGTTAAACGTATTAATTTTTAATAATATCGTTAATGCTAAATTCTCTTGTATCTTGCAGCATTGGACAAAATTCCTCTTATTCATTCTGTGTCTAAAAAGGATCAGAAGACTCTGATAAACTGTGGCAGGAGCCAATTCAAATCTACAACTCCTACCATGTATGTTGATTTCACTATGCTCTGCAGATCAACACTTGAATCATTCATTTTAATTAATTCAAGCTGCTGCTTCTCTTGTAGGTTTTTCATCGATGTATCTCTGCAATCAACTCATCAACATATAATATTAATAGGTTCGAACAACTTTAACAATCCATACATCAAGCAACCGGAGCAAGATTTCTGCACTATCACTGACATGTTATTGATTTTGTATTACGACATAAGAGATGATACAAAGTAGTGTTTGAACACCAAAAGAGCTAGCATGTTAAGTTGCAGTTGAGACATGGTTATGTTTCATTCGTTGCTATTAGATAAATCATTATGTTCCATGATCTAAGTGAAATCAGGTTGCAAACATTTGTCTCATGGGTGGTGATGCCTACAGTTATAGTATCATTGTTTTTAGCCTGTGCTAAGTCAGCTTCAGTGGATCTATGCGACATCTAAAATACATTCTAAAAAGAAACTTATTTGATCCCAATCTGAGAGTGAACTCTACAGAAGCTCAAAATATCCAATGATAAAGATAGATATTTATAGTATCTATACTGTTTGTTGCATGACTATTAATTGTTTTGAGGAGATATAAATAAGTAAGACTAAAGAAAAAAAATTGATGTAACTATTTTAGTAACATTTACATAGGATGATTATGATTAAATAGGTCGACTACTGTCAACTATATATAACTATATATAGGTAGCATAGGTTGATTGAAAATCAATGGTGTATATCAAATAAACTTCTTTTATAAAATTATTCATTGTTTTCTATTATTAAGGATGCAAACAATCTATTATCACCTAGTTGATACATAAATGTAACTACATTTTTTAATCATTTCTAATTTTTAAATTCTATCAATATGCATGTTTGAAACATGGTTTAAATGAAATGAATTAATAATAAAATATTAAATTAAAAAATTTACCACGTTCATTGCACGTGCAACCCAACTAGTACCTTTACGTTTTTAAAACTTTTTTTTTTAGCCTGAAAAACAGGGTGAGGTACCCTGTTCATAGATAGAATATAAGAAGTTTAGAAATTTACAACAGATCTAGTTGAAGGAACACTATAGGAGAAAGTGAGTAAGGAGGGGACCATTGTCGTCACCTACCACACTTGACCTACAGCATTCCCGGCAACTATAGACAGACCAAAAGGAAAACAAACACAACGTAAAAGATAGTATTACATCAAAGACAGTGGCTAATCATAAAAAGTGCTAGACACAGCTAGCGGCCACAAACCAAAAAGTATCATCTACCCAAAAAAAACGTCAACTTCCAGCAGAGATAGAAAACAACAGGGGTTACGTGTTGTTAGAGAGATTGTCACCAGCGACATCAGGGTCATTTGTCTTGGCGAGTTCCTGGAAGCCGAGGTTGAGAGATGCCTTACGAAGCCTCCCAGCCGTCCTGTCCTTTTCATTACCTGACCAAAGTATGAAAAATCTCGCAATGTTAGAAGCTGTGATAAGCGGGATTGGCTGAATTTCCTTAAATATAAGAGAGTTTCTACTGAACCAGATCCACCAACAAACACAGGGCAACAAGATCTTCCATATTGCTTTGGTATCCGAACAAATATGAGGAACTTTGTGAAGAACAAACAACTTTTCCGTAGTTGTAGGCCAGATGTTAGGAGGAAAGAGGGGGAGAAAGGAATTCCATATTGATCGAGCAAAGGAGCAATGGATAAAAAGATGGTCGTGAGTTTCTGTTACCAGATGATCGTGAGTCTACAATTTTTTAGTTATCGATCATGAGCTGATTCTAAGCCATTATGGGGTGGTTTAGTATGTCAGATGGCGAAGCCGTGTTGGCTAAGTTCAATTAACATGTACGTTAGAGACTTAATAGTTAAGACCATTGGTGTTGCTGTTATATGAGTCAAAAACATATTTTCCTATTAAAGAATCTAAACCATTATGTAGCAATTATGAGATTGAGATCTGCAACTTTTCATAGATCATCTATTGTTATACCGGGGGGTACTTCCAAAAATCTTAAAATGCTAATGAGTTAATTATTTTAGTTAAAACCGATTTAACAATTCATGTTTTTTATTGCTTTAACTTTGAGGATATTTTTTTCGTCTCACGAAGGAATAAATTAAAACCCAACTATGTATATGAAAAATATAAATTTAAATCATGGAAAATAGCTGACTTAATTAAAATCGACATAAACATATTTATATAGAAAACTAGCATTACAATTCTAACAATTATGAACAAACATATTGTAATTCCTACTCTGAAGTTTCTTACCAACTAACTAAACAAGAGATTCAAACACTGTTGAACCACATCACAACATAAGATGAGAACTCATAAATGTTACATCTCATTATTTTATAATCTTCAAAAAAAAAAAAAATCAAAAGTCTTCATAGAATTCTCAATTATTGGACATACGATGGTTAAATAATTCAAGTAACATTTGCCTCCTGTCACCGGCTGCTAACTCTCACTAATTGGTCTAATTCTAGGTTTAAATTAGATTAAGAGCGTGATATTGTAATTAACAATTATAATCACAAATTATTAATCATTATATATTAATTAAATCCTCTCAGCGTCTCCTAAGCTGGCGGACAAAAAGGTGTAGGGCCCTTTGTCCTATAGCTGTAGGCCTGTAGATTATACAAATATTAATTAGTTAAAATATATTTATTTTATATATATAATAAACCAATTATAAATTGGGTCAAGTATTAACTGAAATTACAGAAATGCCACTGTGCCAACAGCCTCACGACAACTGAAAAGGCCGGCACCCTCTCTTGTTCGGTCCTCTAGTGATGGAGACTACCCAAGTTTATAACCATGATGGGGACATAAAGGTAATTTACAACAAAATGCGGAATTTTAAAACTAAATCTAGAGCTTTGACGGTCATATATATTTGTAGTATAAAAATGAAAATATCTGAACGTAGACGAGTAGTTAACATGCATGAGAGGTATGCGTGTGAATTCTTAGAAAATACTGCGTGATAATAGCTTGCCATCTTTTTCCATGATCTCATCGTTACCTCCATTTTTTCCCCTTAATTAATTTTCTCCCTGTGATTTGAATTTTGTTTGTTGATAGGTATATTATATACGAAAATCTTGTGCATGAGAATGTTATTTCTGCTCAACAATTTACTAGCTAGTATCTTGTTATAGTAACGATGGAGGGAAATTTTTGCACATCAAACAAAACAAAGTATTATTGAAATGATAATTAATGACACATGCTAAACTAAGTTTAGGATAGGATTATGTGCAAAACCCCCAAAGTTAGGGAATGTGAAATTTTCTCTAGTACGTACGATAATGAAAATTTTCCACTCCCCTAATTTCATATTCCACAATTTTTTTTTTCACCTTTCGATGAGAGGATTGGGATCTTGGACTTCGTTAATTACGAAAAAGATAAAATGGGATATTCCTGTAACAAGGTTGTAAATAATAGTTGATACCGATGGCTATTCTTAAACACGTGATTAGACTTAAGCTTTGATAATATCATTGATTAATACAAAAGGATATGTGTACAAAAAATTCCTGAGTTGGCTATTAATGATGGCCAACTCATTATCTAATAAGAAGGGGACACCTCACTTGTCCCCCCTATTGGTCCTATATTTTGGGTCACTGTAGCAAAGCTCATTTGGATATTATCTAAATTCAAGCTATATATGTTGTGTATTTAGGAGTTGTTTTGCTACAGGAACCCAAAACATGGGACCAACAATGGAGGACAAGTGATGTGTCCCCCTCCTATTACATAATGAGCTGGTCATCATTAATGATGATTAGTTCATTATGCAATAGGAGTGAGACACGTCACATATCTCCCCTGTTGGTCTCATATTTTGGGTCATTGGGGATTTTTTTCTAAGAGATGTTTTCTTTTTCTTCTTTAATAAGAAAAAAATTTGTAATTGCTAAGGTTAATTTTTTTCAAAGAGGTATTTGCGCTTCGAGCTTTCTGAAAGAATTCTTTTTTTTAAACATTAAACTTGTGAACGGTTAAAATCGGAGGACTAGTTTTGATAAAGTTCTCAAAATTAATTATATTGCATATATAAGGGGAAAAAGCTTTAACCTAGCTAGCTATTATAACCTAGACTGTGAATTGATCCGAGAAAACGTAAAATTATAATATAAACTCAATAATTAATGATGGCTCAAGAGAAACTTCTATGAGGGATCTAGGAGAGGGTTGATTATAATATACAATCCTGACCTAGCTAGCTATAGGATTAAGCTGGCTAATTATTATTTAACAACTGCTTCCCTCGTAGGATCTAAAATTTTAGGCTCTGCATTGCAGCTAATATTAATACGCGTTTTCTAGAAAACGCAATTAATTGTTAGTTTTTGACTAAGCACCATAATCAGCACACATTTTAAGGACTTAGTGCCACCATTAATGTAGTTTGTCCCTTGATCAACAACAGTACAATAAAAAGAATTTAATTGGACCCTCTTCACTACAAGAAATTAGTGGAGAGACCACTATTTTTAATCTCAATCGTTAATTATTTAGTAGGCGGTCATGATGCAATCTAAATCTAACACTCACCGTACCACGTGTATTGCCCTGAAAAAAAAATTCACAACTACCAACTAGATAATCAATGGTTGTGATCATGTAGTGGTCCCTCCACTACTTTTTAGATGGTGGAGATGATCCGAATCCCAATAAAAAAATAGCTTCGGGTTCTTTTCACCGAGAGCGAACCGTAAATCCTCAATCATAATCACCGGTCATTTAATATACGGCTGTGATCTTTCCTCGGTGAGAAAGTTTGATCAATGTTTGAATGATCAGTGCGAGAAAAGAAAATTTATGTGCTAATTAGTTACGCTGAGAACAAATCATTATTAGTCTATAATTAAATTAATCAATTATAATTAAGAGAGTGGTCACCCTCTTCAAACGGAGAGGATCAAAATTGATTAAAAAAAACATACTCATGCTTGATTAAATGGTCAATGAAATGCCCAATGAGCTTTAGTAAAGTAGACCCAATGAAAAGCATGTCTATGTCTTGAAGTGCATGCTCGCTAGTATGCCCCCCCCCCCCCCTACCCACCCAGCCCCCCCCTCCTTGTGTTAACTAGCTTATTGCATGGAGACACTCTATGACTATATAATATGGTAAATCCAGTGGCTTATATGTCGAGTCGTTAGCTTTAAAGAATAGTGATTATGATATGAAATATTTTTTCTTTCTAATTATTATTAATTTGCATTAGGTCTTCCCATCTAATCTACGTGGCAGTTGTAGCTGTGACGCCTCAAACATTAGCTCTGCATCATGTAGCCCATAAGATCCGCATTGCATATGTCCACATTTACAGAATGCTTACGCTTAAAAAGAGGTGGG